CTAGCTATGATTCGGGACCTCGTTTGATGTGGCAAGATGCTGCTTGAGCCGGGAGCGTGCGCTGCGTGTGTTCCTAGCCAGGATCCGGCACCAGAGGTGGGGTAAGTGACTTTTACTTCGATTCTCACCTGAACGTTGAGCAGACTTTGTCACTTTGCGTTTACGGGCGGGTTTTTAAAGCTCTGGCAATGGTTCCGGTGACCGTTTGGCTGAAGGTGGAGACGGCCTCCCTTTATTCTTGGTATGGACTTGCTGAAGGCCACAAGCTCTTGCGCGTGGAGAAGAGTAGACCCCGTCCTCCTCTGCTCAGCCCAGCTGACGCTCCACACGGTCGTGCGGACGGCAGAGTGGGCTGAAGCGCTCCTGGGAGGAGGATTGTGGTCCTGGCTCAGAGGTTTCCAGTGTTGGCGGCGTGCAGGGTGGAGCAGGGAGAGGCAGGGAGGTTTTAGGCGGCGTTCAGGGCTGAACAGGGGCTCTGCCAGCCCCTCGCTGCCATTCAGGGCTGCAAAACTACGCAGCCAGTTGAAATCCAGGTTATTCGCAACAGCACGGCCTGTACCCAGCGGGGCGGTGAAATGTCTGCCCTGCCCCAGCAGCCAGCAGAAGCGGCAATTAAACCTGTATTAATCACTAGAGATGGAAGGGGTAACGTCCACTTAATTGAACGTAAAGAAGGCTGCAGTTCCCTGGGGAGGCTCTGGGGCGATCGATCGCAGCAGGTAGCTGGAAGATGCGCGTTGCTCCATCCCGGGGGGCGGGACTGCAGCCGCGCCGAGTTCGTGGGGCTCCCGCGTGAGCTGCGGGCAGGGCGGGCAGGCACCAGGTCGCTGGGTACCGCTCGTCTCTGGCGCTGCGTAAGCGGGATGGGTCACCTCTCGAGAAACTGAGGCGCAGGAAAAGAGCCTCACGACCCTCGTGATGCGCTTGAGGGATCTGTGGGCGATGGTGAGGCGGTCTTCCCCGGGCTCACTGCTGCCCTGGGCTGCCAGAAGCGGGGCAGGGAAGGGCAGAGGCAGCTCCTCCGTCGTCCCCCCCGCCCCGTGCCGCAGCGGAGGCTGGCAGAAACCAGGGCCTGGCCCCGTGGCAGGCAGCGCGCCCGCGCGGGGCAGGCAGCGAGCGCGCCGGCGCGAGGCTGCCTGACTGCCGCGCTGAGGACTCGGGCGGCAGCCGGACACTGGTTAAAAGGGCCGCTGAGCTGCGGCTCTTGCCGAGATCAGAGGCAGGAGGCCCCGCTGGTGGCTAAGTGCTTCCTGCTTCGGGAAAATGAAAGGTCTGCACTTCACCTGATTACGGGCTGGCAGGCGGCCTGCGCCTCCGACAGCGCGTGGCGTGACATGCGAGTGACAGCAGCGGAGGTAAGGAGCTGGTTAAGGTCCCATCTCGCCTGCCCCTCCCTCGCACGGGCAGGGAGCCAGAGGGGAATGGATTTTTTTGTCAGCCTTGTGCTCAGCTTGGGCTCGCTGCTCTGAAGCCGTACCGGAGGCTGGGGAACAGCGCTTCGCTCACCTGTAGCCTCCCGACAGGGAGAACGGGGGGTTCGCTGGTATGTTTGTACGGGAGCGAGGACACGTGTGAGCGCAGGAGCGAGAGACTAGAAACTGGGTAGAGCGGCGCGTCCTCCCCTCCTGTGTCCACGCGCTCGCTGACCGCTCCCCTCTCCCCTCCTGTGTCCACGCGCTCGCTGACCCCGCTCCCCGTCAGGGAGGAGCACTTGCTCACCCCCCTCCCCTTCGCCGGTCAGGGAGGGGGGGGTGACCCCAGCGGGAGGGCTGTAACCTTCTCGCAGCATCGCTGGGGCGGGGGAAATCACTGCGGGGTTTTTTTTGCAAGCCGGTATTAAGTTCTAAAATAGCCCCTGAAGGAATATCTGAAATAAATACTCTGGAGCCCAGGGAGAGAGACGGGAAGCACCTCGGAGTGTGTATTTTAATGCTTCGCATTCCCCTTGGCTGAGCTGTTGCTGTGCGTAGAGCTGGCCTGGGCTCAACTCCGCGGCAGGAGTAGATGAACTCTTCCAGTCCCATAAGGAGAGGTTTAACCCCCAGGAAAATGACAATTTGCCCCACGGGAAGGCTGTCGGGGAGCAGAGCGGGGGCCAGCCGCGCACTTTCTGCTTGCTCTTCTGGTTGTGCCTGGCCGAGGGAGGCGGCTGAGGCTGCTGGACACGAGGCTTTGGTGCCCCCAAAGCGGCGTCTCACCCCGGCGCCCTGGCTTGTAGCGGTGGGCCCCGTTTGTTTAATACTCGCTGGAGGGGTGCGGGAACTGCTGCGTAATCGTGACGCCAGATGAGAAAAGACAGCGCCTACAAGCAGCGATGCCAATAAGGCGGGGGGGGGGTATTAAAACCTTAGAGAAAGGCATCTATGGCTAAAAAATTCTATACAGAGAAATGATCGGGTGCTGAGCCGCAAGGAAGGCATCTCGGAATACTTAAGTGCAGCGGTTCCGCGCCAGCCCAGCCTCTTGCTGGTGCATCAGCAGTTCCCAGGAGCCGTTTTTCCATCCCCGGTTCCTTCATCCGAGCTGCCCGTGGCGTCTTCTGCTGCAGGGCCTGGGTTCCCGCCCTGCCCCAGGGCGGGGGGAGGCTTTCGGCAGCAGCCTGCCCGCCTCCCCCTGGCTGCTCCCCCGGGCGTCTGCCCAGCCGGGCTGCCTGCGCCCGCAGCTCTGCCTGCGCCCCGGCAGAGAGAGACACAATCCCTCGCACAAAAGAGCAGCAAAGTCAGGGCCTGCCCTCGAGCCCAGCTGGAGGCGAACAGAGCTCCGCTGAGCCCTGCCCCGGGGAACGGGGCTGCAAACCAGAGGCTGGAAGCCAGCGCCGGGCTGGCAGCTGCCCGCCGGCTCGCAGCCAGACCTTCCCGCCGCCACCCGCACGGCGGGGGGGGGGGGGGGGGGGGGGGGACACGGCCACGGCGCAGGGAAAAGCGGAGCCGAGGGGTCAGCAGTGCCCCTCCGTCACCTCCGCCGCTCGAAACGCTTAGCCCCTCCGGGCACAGGAGACGAAGGGCTCGGTCTCCTCGCTCCTGCCGGACCTGCCTGGGCCTCGTCCCGCAGGGAAGGGGACGGGGCAGGAGCCGGCCTGCAGAGCCTGATGTAAACACACTCGTGATTGAATAAACTTTGGCTCGGTAACCAACGCCACGGCCAAAACCTGTGGGGAAGGTGGGGCTTGTGTAACGGCAGCGGCGCTGACTGGAGCTGCAAGAGGGAAGGGAGGCTTCGAGCTGCGCTGATGCCGTTCGCTCGCCCGACAGGAAAGCGGGACACCACGCTCCGGCCCCGGGAGGCGAAGCACGGAGGAGGGCGATCAGGCTGCGCCAAGGCAGCTCCGACCCGCGGCCGGGCCCCGGCCTTCGAACGACGGCAGCTTTGGCCGAGGGAACCCGCCGCTTGCTCCACGCAGCTGCAAATTTAACCCGAAACCACGTTTTTCCCTCGGCTTTCTTTACGAAGATACTGTTGTGAAGTAAGGAGAAAAAAAAAGCAGCTGAGCCAGAGCCGTTTCCCACAGCCGAGGGGCCTTTCGTTTTTCCTCCCCTCCGAGGTTACCTGCGGGCTGGGACGACAGCGACTCCCTCCCCAGACCATCGCTGGAGGCAAACCAGGCCTGCTCCGAGCTCAGCACAGTGGGAGAGAGCCAGGAGCCACCCTGGGTGAGAAGGACCCACAAGAAGAGGCCGTTTCGTTTCCCTGACGTGCTTCATCTTTTACAAAAATAAATAAAAAAAAAAAAACAAACCAAAAAAAAATTCCATGAAACAAATGCTCGTACAGTGAATAAGCCATTTTATTTTTGTCCTGTGCTCACACAATCTCTCTTCTTTCCCTGACAGGTCACAGATCATTAAAATAAAGTTTCTAAGAGGAAAATAATTTAAAACATACGCGCAGGGCTCCCTTCCAACCTCCCCACACCCACATCTCCACCACTTGTGCTTCGTCTCACGCGTAAGTAAAGCCGTTGAATCTCCGGAGTCCGGGATGGGAGAGCCCGCCGGGGTCTCGGCGAGCCTCTTGGGGCCGCAGCGAACGCACCGAACGCCCCGCCACGCGCTCCGAGATCCAACTACTTTCCCCGTAGCCTGGAAAACGCGCCCGCGGCCGGACATCTTCCCTCCGGGCAGCGCCGCGGGCTGCTCCGGGCCTCCCTCCTGCGTTACCGGGTTTCCTTCCCTTGAGTTACCACCCCGAGTCTTCCCTCCGATGCGCCGCCCTCACCCCGTATCACATGCACAGGACCGGCTCGGAAAAGCCGTTTTTTTTAAGCTTTTTTTTTTTTGTTTTTTTTTTCTCTTTTTTTTCAGTTGCTGGTAAAGTCAGTACACTCCCAGCTGTGCTATATTGTAAATACAGCTTCTAGGATCGTCTCCGTGGCGGAGACCGACAGTGATCAAGGCACTACCCCCACCCCCCTCCTGAAAACAAAGGAAGTCAGACCAACACCTAGGGACAGAAGAGAATCCTATAATGTGATCACACGGTTACACTGAATTATGGCAAAGAGACCATTTAGCAGCTTTGAACGTTTGGGCTTCTCCCTTTTACTCAACACAAGCACTCTAGACCCTATAGGGAAAAACAGGGCTGAAGCCCTAAAAAAAAATCAAAGCGCGGTTAAGAAACAGGAATCCTACCAGCCGTCTAATTTCTATAAGTGACAAGCCCAAGGCCTGGGGTGGGAACCCTCCGCTCCCCTTGTGCTGTACGCTGACCCCGGGGAG